CTGACACCTGGACGCGCTGAAGGACCGGATGAATCCCAAAGCCTTCGACCTAAACCCTAAACCCCACACCCGCCTATCCTGGGCCCTCAAGCTTAAAGTCTAAATCCAACATCCGGACGCCTTAACCCGAAGATCGACATTACCTGATCCGACCGCCAAGCCCTTTGGGCTTGTTGGCATTTGGGGATTTGGGGGCTTTGTGGTTATGGCTTCCTGGCTTAGGGCTTTTAAACAGGGTCTAGGGTTTACGATGCCAGCTAGAGCACGAAGTCAGTGGGCTTTCTGCATCATGCCGGGCCTCTCGGGGTGGAGCAGCTTGGAGTACAGCAGTTTTTGGGTTTACCGTTAAAGTGTTGGGGGTCTTCGGGCTTTGTAGGGGAGCCCGCATGGCTGCAAACTCAACAGAGTCTTGCCTCTTGGGCGCCAAGCAGAAGCAGCGAGGCACTTTGACCAGAAAAGTAGCCATTCGAAGCCCCTTCAGGGACATCGTCAGGACATCTTCCTGGCAACGTTTCACGGTAGGCTGACGCCTTCCTTCTTCAATGATAGGAAGGAGAGGCTGAGACTTCGTAGCCTCGACCCCTCCACCCCGACAAGAGCCTCCTCTCAAGGCATCCTCCATGTCTAGCTGATCATGAGGAGCTGGTCCCTTCGGCTTGCTTTTGGTACGTTTGCAGATTGTGGGCTTGAACCTTAACCGAACAGCTCAACCGGAAAGACGCAGAAAACCCACCCAACAACAGGAGCCAGTACTACTGCACTGTTCGTCAGGGCTGGTTGCTAGACTTATAAGATTTCATCCACCAAAGCACTATTCTAATCATGGACGCCACCTTTCTTGCACACATCTTCAGCCCAATGGCTTGAGAGGGGGGCTGCGTTGGAGATGTAGAGGCCGCACCGAAGTGAAACAGAGGCGTTGGACGGCGAGACAAGTTCGTGTCAAAGAAGAGGCTTTCTGTCAGGGCTTGTGTAGGGTTTAGGTTAAGGAGCTGGAGGAGTTTGCATCCATGCATGGTGCAAGCAGGGGGTGGGCGTTTCTGGTTTAAGCGACAGCTTTCAAGTTCTCATGCTTTTCCCAAGACCTCCTCGACCAATGAAGCTAGGCGCACCCTGTCCTTGGCTTCAACGACCCTTTCCTAGTGGTCCGCACAGCGACGGCCTTGCTCCCTTATATTGGGAATCTGTATATTTTGGAAGCCAGGTGTCAGAGGGCCCTTCCGACATCTTCTTGCACCTAAACGGCCTCTCTGGAAAACCCCAACACTCCAAAGCCATAAGCAAAACCTCAAACCCCAAAGCTCCAACCCTGATAGCCCTCAACCAGCCCTCGGTGCCTGTTCCAGACCCTGGCCTGTGAGGACGGAATTTTGAGGCTCCGGCTGAGGCCGCTAGGGCAGTAAAGCGAAACCCTACGGCGGAAACCCTAGGTCCCACCGGAAAGTCAGACTTCCCAAGCCCCAGGTGTCGGCGGCTGGAGGACAGAATGCGCCACGGGGTTTACAGGGTTCGGTTCTGGATGCAGATTCAGAGACTAGGGTCAGGATTCAGGGTTTAGCAGTTTCAGGGTCAGTGTTCAAGCTTTTTAAGGCTTCTTGCTGTTTTAAGGGTCTAGGATTTGGGATGGTTGACCTAGGCTTCAGCCGGAATGGAACGAGTTTGTGCCGGATGTCGCCGGATGCAGGGCCTAGCATGGAAGGATCTGGAGATCAGGGAGGCGTAACTCCTTTCCTCTAGGTCTCATGTAGGAGCCTGATTAAGGAACCTTAGTCCTTGGACATTAGAACATGAGGATCCATAGTAAGAGCCCTGACAAAGATCCAAGGTTTCTGAATCAGGTTCCTATATTGGTACCTTGGGTTGAGGTCTTCGTGCGGCAGGGTTCTGTCTACGGCTCTGCTGTTCAGGTTTAGGTCTTAGCAATCAAAAACATATGTATCGGACTTGGTGGTTGTAGTCCGCAGCGACGCCAAATCCCGGACTCAAAGCCCTGAGCCCGGAGCCAAGAACAGCAGTGTAAGCACTTGCACCACCCAAGCGGCCCAAGCGTGGAAAAAGACCATTGCACCTCCAAGCTCTCCGCTACGCCGTGCCACACCCTAAACCGTAAAGTCCTAAACACGAAAGCCCTAAACTATACCCTTCCTGCCTCGCCTTGGATTGTCCGCGTGTGAGCGCCTAAACTCCACCCTAAACCCTAGAGCGTAAAACCAAGGCTTTCGAACTTCGGTAGAGGATTCGGGTTTCTGGCTGCTCGGGTTCGGCCTCCGGAGCTATTCGGGCCTTCCAGGGCTGAGGCGGGGCTGGACTGAAGGTTTCGGGGTAAGGATTTTGGGTTTCAAGTTCTTGAGTTGGGCTTCAGAGGGGTCGGCTGTTGCAATCCGGCATGTGGCGCTCTTGGCTCCGGGTGTCGAGCTGCGCTAGAGCGGCTTCCATGTGCCATGGCCTCGAAGAGCGGGCTGCCTTTGAGAGGGCCAGGTTTCGAAGTTGAACCGCCCGACAAGGCGAACTTTCGGTCAATCGGTCGTGGGAATGGCGGTGTGATCAAGAAACGGATCCCGGTCTACATAAAGGATGTGGATCCCGCGACGCCGAGTAGCATGCCGACCAAATACCAGACCGTGCTCTACCGGAAGAACAGGGAGAAGCGCGGATTCTCATGCAGCACCACGCGAACTGCGCAGACGAGGGCTATGGCCGAAGTCGTCCCAGGTCCTGGGGCTTATGCTGGAGATCTCGTGATCCAAGAGTTGGAGGAGTCCACGAAGACTTCAACGAGCACCTCGGCCTCTGTATCGTCGCAGGTGGCCCTGCGCGGCCGGGGCACTTTTGCATCACGGACACCTAGGTTAGTGCACCCCTCCAAGCAGCACGGCTATGTGCCACCAGGTCCAGGGACCTACATCATGCGAGATGTGCAGCGCGACTCCTCGCCGACAGCGGCCTTCTCGCTCCCGGGCCCAGGCAACCCCGCGAAGTTCAACGTGGTCGAGACGGAGCCCGGCCCCGCGAGCTACCTGGGCCCCGACGATGCGGTGCCACCCATCGGCTGTCAAGGTGCCCGTGCCGTCTTCGGCAGCAGCCCGCGTGCCACGCAGCAGGTAAGGGATCCAGACCTTCCCGGACCTGGGCAGTATGATCAAATAGACGGAGAGGAGAGACTGAGGAGCACTCGACCCAGCCAGAAACAGTTGAGTCCGAGGCCAGAGCCGATGACAGATCTGGAAACGCTGAAGCTAAGGCGTGGGGCAGAGATACTCAATAGCAACACAACTGAGGAGGTGACAGTGAGCTCGCCTGGCCCTGGTCAATACACCCCACGTCTGGATGCGGTTCGAGGCCCTAAGCAATTCAATGCTCGGGGGCACAGCTCTTTCCACATCGGCAACTCGCACATCCCAAGGACGAAAGGGATGGGCGGATGGCCTCGAACCCGAATTTCTAACGGATGCGCAGTAACTGCCAGAACTCAGCTTCTGGAGCGCTTCAACCCAAACTCCGCAGCCTTCTGAGCCCTTCCAGGAAATGGCGGCAGCCCGGGCCGGGTCCCACGGACTACGTCCCCCCCATCGGCCAGGCGCGGCCGCGCGACGCGCCCTGGCCTCTGAGCACCTTGGCCTCCAGCTCCGAGCGCTTCGCGAAGCAGCAGGGGCGCCTGGGCCGACGTCCCCGAAGTGGAGGGTTTTTTTTGGGCAGATGCAGGGGATGTCATGAGACTTCAGGTGTAAGGTTTTTCCAGATAGATAGTTGCCCAGAACGGGGTTGCAGAAAAGCAGGGGGAAGATGCACGATAGTCATCAGTGAAGAGCCCCAAAAGCAAGTCCAATCAAGGCAAACAGGGGAGAAAGAGACACCGCGTAACTGCCCTAGGGCCCCAGTGTATGTCACAGAAAGGAAGAGGTCTCTAAACCCAGATCCTCAACCCTGGACCCTGAACCCCTTAGCCATAAACCCTCAGCCTCTAAGCTCGACCCCAGGAGCGGGGCCCCTGGGCCGGCATTCTACAGCCCCAAGCACGAGCCGGGTGCCGTCTCTTTCCACCTGAACATGCAGCACACTTGGGTTTAGGGTGCATGGTTTAGGCGGGATCTGGGCGGCCGAACCTTGTATCCAACTCAAAGCCTGCTTAGAGCACCCCAAACACTCAAACCCAAGAGCACTCTGATTTTTGTGGCACGTCCCATTCCCTGTTCAAAATTCGCCCGTCGCTGGCAGCAGCAAGGTCATAGGGTCCACTCTGGATAGGTTGCAGGACATGGCAGGATAGTTCGGCGCACAGCGCGCCTTGTATCACAAGCAGTCATGTTTCACCTACTGGAGCAGTCTGAGAATCCTCGACTGCTCCGAGGTTGTAGAGTCAAGCCAGAGCTGCAAAAAGCTGCTGTGGTGTTTAGCATGGAGCCATGACTTGTGCAGCAGGTTCGTGTTTGGCCTGAGTAGCTCATTTTGTTCATCGAAGCCATGCATCAGCATCGCGATCTCTGTTGGCACGGCCCATAGCTGACATCCTTGACACCCTTTCCCTGGCCCAGGCACAAAGCAGCTATCTTGATTACCGGAACCCACCCCCTTCGCGTGGCCAGCCAGAGTATCGGTGAGCCTGAGCTTCAGACATGTGCAGACCAGACGATGCACTAGGCCTGAAAAATCATGCAGCTGAAACTTGGCCTAACGCATGTCGACAAAGCATCAGAACAATAACAATGAAAATAATAACAAAACATAGCAACTAATGATAATAGTCATGAGAATAATAATGATAGTAATAATTGTAACAATAGTAACGATATCAACGCTAACAAGAATAATGAAGCTCCTCCGCCTCCACCCTGAAGCTCCGACCTCTCAGGCCTTACGGAAACGGCCTCCAGACACGAAGCCTTACGAAGCTTAACCCTCAGCCCCTTGCCGTAAACCCTCGACCGCAAGCCTGAAAGCCTGAACTAGGAGGGTCCAAACCTTTTTGGTTTCAGTAGCTTATACTTTTTGGGTCATGCGCCATGAAAATCCGGGCCCTTTGCTTCGCGCTGGGGACCGCAAGTGCCTGGCCGACGGAGTCTCCGCACTACCCGCACTACCACGGGCGGCAGGTGCCAGTGCCAGTTGTCGGATCCGTCGGGACCGAACACAGGGAACCAGGAAGCCATGTAAACTATGAAAACCTACCGGCTTATAGGGTTGTGTCTGACCTTTAAGAAGACTTGCGAGTATTTGCAACTCATGTTTTGGATTGTTCTAGTGAGTCTGAGTCCTGAACGTCGACTCACCCCAGAAGATGTTAAGCCTTGGGATGCTTGTGGGCCAGTTCAGTCCATCCTGGGACCAAGTCCAGAGTTGGGGGGTTTCGACAGGGTGAACGTGGGTCAGGATAGAGGCTTCCGGGTACAGGTCCTTACCATCATCACCAGAATCAATCTTCATCATAAGCATCATCACCGTAGTCGTCGTTGTCATCTTCTTCATCGTCACGACCACCGGGCAGCAGTAGGAAAAATAAAGTTGACTGCAACCGCAACAGCACCAGAAGCCCAGAGGCCAGCATCCGCGGCAACTGCACTCATGATGCCCGCCAAGATGTAGCCACCGCCAGTCGCTGCCATCTCTTTCGCCACCACCCCCGTCATGAAACCCATCAACCGCAGCTGTAGGTCAGGTTCCAGATTTTTGACGGCATAGGAAAGCCCTCATTAAACACCTTAACTCCGAACCTTCAATCCCAAACCCCAAAACCTTCGGCCCCAACACTTGCCGAAGAGGCTCTGCCCTCTGCAGGTCTTCATTCTCAACGGCTCCTGGGCCTTTGCCTTCCTTGGCCAGCAGGACATTAGTGTTGGGAAGGTATATAGGGGTGGGCTTGGGGGCATCTAGGCATGTTACGTTGGAGCCTTCAGGTTCACGCGTACGAGTTCTGGGACTGGGGCATGTTAAGGCGTTATAAGCGATTACGCAGGTGTTCATGGATACTTGCGGGCCACTGTGCTGCCTCACATCGCGACTCCTGGAGGTCGGGTGATAGAAATTATAGTCATCGCATGAATATTTAGTACCCATCATCATAGCAGTAGTGGTAAGTCTTAAAAGTGTTCGTGGCAGTGGAGCGCTCACACTTCCCATTTCGATCCTGAGGACCCTGCCGCCTGGCCACTGCCCGAGCCGGATGCTTGGGAGCTACTGGGCCTTTGTTCTCATTCCTCGGTCTCCTAGTGGGTTTCGGTGGTGCGAGGAGACACTCCGCAATAATGTGATTCATGCGACAGTGACTGATAATGTAAGGCCTTGTAATTGTCCTGAGCCCTCGACCCTAAACCTTAATGTTGATGGGTGGCGGGTTTGCCAATGCATAGATGCGACGAGTATGAAAGCCTGCGGACGTTCCGGACGAGAAGCAATACACATACCCATAAAGAACGGTCTACCAATCTAAATCGAAGCCTTTTGAACCGGCTGCCTCCGAGACTTAGGTTTAAAGGTTCATGGAACCCTGAAAGGTTTCGGAACCCCCAAAAAAACCCCAGACCGTAGCGACCTCGCAGAAACGCCCCACCCTGCACCCCCAACCCTACAAACCGACACCAGACACTTAGGAAACAACAAAGGCCAGGCTCTGAGGCCCAAGCCCAGTCTTATCTCCCAAAAGGGTTTAGGGTTTAGGGTTTAGGGTGGCCGGAGCGGAGGCTCGTGGAAGTCCCCGACGCTTTCGACCTGCGGCCGAACGATCCGAACTGCGATTGCACCTTGCCCTGGCTTCGGGGCGGTAAGGTTCAGGGCTTTAGGGTTTTAGTGTCAGGGCTTTAGTTTGGGGTTTGGGGCTTTAAGGCTTTGAGGGGTTTTAGGGTCTTGAGGTTTGCGTGTCAGGGCTTTGGGTTTCAAGGCTTTAGGGCTTTAGGCTTTAGGGTTTCGGACGTTAAGTTTAGCGTTCAGGTTTTTTGGATGTAGGCAATTTGGGGGTTTAGGGTGCCTGAAGCTTGGAGCCGCGAAGTGGCCAGCCTCGCATCACAGTCATGAGTACTGTCTTGTGGGTCAAGCTGGGCAGTAAGGGCAGCAGTCGAGTCCCTTGTGAAAAAAGGTCTTAAAAAGGGCTCTCGGGTTTACGGTGAGTGGGGGCCGAGGTCTGCCTAGACTGAGCCCTAAGGTTCAGGGGCCTGAAGGGTTTCGGGTCCAGAGGTACAGGGACCCTGAACCCCAACAGTGTTGAGCCGTACACCCTGAAGCCATTTGTGGCTTTGATAGTACGAGGCTGTAAGATGCGGGTCAGGGGTGCGGTGCTGAGGATTTGACATTGGAGGGTTTCGCGCTTCAAGAGTTGAATATGCCAAGATTCTACAGTACCCAGAAGCGTTGTTTAATCAACTTTCCAGTGCATCCCCTGTGGATCCCGCAAGAAACACAGGGTATACTGGCTGCACCCTTCCATGTGTGAGGGTGACATTTGGCGGCGTGCCACACCTTGAATCCATGTCTCCGAGCCTTGGATCCCTGAACCTACACGAAAGCCTGTAAATCCGAACCTAAATTGAAAGCCGTAAGCCTGAAAGTCTGCATATCGAAGGTTGGCCCGCGCGGGAGCAGTGCGAAAGGTGCTGCGATCGAAGTTTGGGCCACCGGGGCGACCCCGAGTGCTGGGGCGATCGGAGGCAGTCAATCCGTAGGGGTTTTGTAGGTTATTCAAGTTTGGGGCTTTAGGCTTGAGCGGCTTTGGTGTCCATGAGGAGCCATTTCTCGCTTCAGTCGGGCGTGTTGCAGACACAGGCGGCAACAGGCGGCTTTCAGCGCCTTCCTAGTGTGCAAGCTCAGAATGTCGCAGAGGGACATGGCTGCCCCTGCCTCCTTGCCCCGCCTGCCCTCCCTGCCCCCCTGGCCCATTTTAAACCCACTAAACCCTCTCTAAAATGCGGAGACGCAAACAATTTGTCTTGCTCCCCATGTGCTTCCGGCAGGTATCTGGATGGCGTCTGGATCTACGAGCAAGGTCCACACTGGCAAGGCTGCTTACTGATTTGTTAGACAAGGAATTTGAAAAGCTGCGATACGACGCGAGATGGTAAAGGCATCTCAACACTGCCTTTGAGGCTGTCAAGCTGAGTGTTTCTCTTCTTGTCGGTTGAGGATGCTGGGATGGACCTTCTGTAGGTCTGGTTGCTGTGCTCATCTACGTGGGCTGGACCCGTGCAATGATGACTGGTTGGCATGCAGACACTCAAACGTGCAGACGCTTCTGCTGGCATACGCCGCGGGTGAAGTAGAAGTGCAGAGAACAAACGGAAACCTTACGCCCGGGCTGACTTCCTTCCTCAGTCCCAGACCGAAACTGGCCCTCTAGTAAGTGTCCCCTAAGTGTCTCCCACCCTGAACTCTGTGAGGCTTTGAGGCCTGCTGCAGACCAGACCCTCTGCGGCTGCGCCGCGGCACGGCGCTGTACCAAACGGAGGTCGAGGCAAAGCTGGGATTCCTCGGATGCGCCCAGAATCTTGCGAGATGTCTTACTGGAAAGGTAGTGGGTGAGCGCTTCAAGGGGCCGAGCCTTATGCATGGCTGGGGCCTTCCACAGCCACAGCTTCGACTGCAACTGGTCTGGAAAATTTAGGCAGGTTCGTGCAGCCGAATTGGCCGCAACGCAAGGAGATCGTCAACCTTCCCTTCACATCCAGATCCGCACCCCGGACCCTGCAACCCGAACTGCCGAAGGCCCCGCCGAACACCGCGGCCATCCTGCAACTCGCTGCCTGCACCAACCGCTGCCTCGTCCGCGTGGACGGCACCCTGTGCACCAATCAGGGCCGTTTTAAGGAGTTAAGGAGTTGGGCTTAAGGGTGTTTTGGGGTTTCAGGGTTAACGGGGGTTCGGATTTGGTGCTCTTTACAGGCTTTCCAGGGTTCTGGATTGAGTGGGGCTACAGCAGGTGCTGTAGCATGCTGTGCATGTAGCAAGCAGTGCGCATCCTCATGCCAGAAATTAGGAATGGCTAGAAGACAAGTAATTCACTTCCAATTCATGTAATAGTTCAGGGTCTAGGCCGGGTGTTCGCAGTTACATGTAGAAGACTCTGCCCAACACAATGCCGGAACCGTTCGATATGGTTTTTGTGCTGAGTAGAGTCCTTGTCCGGCTTGTTCATGACGAGTAAAGGCTTTGTTTTTGTTGCTCCAGCCCTGAGGTGAGCTCCTCGCGGATCACGCTGGCCTCTCGCCGTTGGAGGTGGAGGCAGGCTTCAACAATCTACAAACATAGTCCGGCCCGGGTTCAGAAGCTACGCTTCCTGCGGGCTTAGGCTTAGGCTTTGGGTCTCACAAGAGCTGCTCACTATGCTCGCCGCTACCTGCTACACCCCGAAGTCAGCAGCTAAGGGCAGATAACAGAGACCCCTGAAGGTGCCTCCCAGCGTCGAGGGGCGGCGAAGGATTCTGGTTATTGCAGACAACACCTTCAACATGACAACCCACCCGGCCACCTGAGCTGCTTTATTTGCAGATTGCAGCTTCCCGATCTCAGGCCACGATTTGTGCACCGGCTCAAGTGCACCCTGTGGAGCCTTATGTTAGAGCTGTCGAGGTCCATCAGCCGAAGTACGACTGGTACCAGGCCGGAAGAGCAAAATGTGGGGTAGAGGATCATGGTTCCTAAAGCTTGGTTTGGTCATGGCCCTGTATGGTGGCGGGGCGGCGCTTTTAGGCTCATTTTTGGCCTGGGCACAAAGGAGGCAGAGTGTTGAGATCATGCACTGTAGGATTGTAGGACTCTTGTCCCAGCTCTCTGCCGATGTTTGGAACGGCCACATGCACGAAACACCCCTAGTTGTGTAGGCCATGCCTCCTAAACTTCATAAACACGCCTGGAAGAACACTCGAGTCGTGCAGCCCATCCCGAAAAACATAGGTTTCTTATCGCCCTGAACCCCAGCCCCCAAACCCCAAGCAAAAACCACCGAAAGCCTCTAAGACCCACTCCGAAGCCCTCTCTGGGTACGTAGATCTTCTGCTTAGGCCGGTGGTCTGATCCGCAGCGTGCAGTTTCACGTGCTAAGAGGTCCGGAGAATTTGCAGTTCTGGGTAGGTGGGGTTTGAGGGTTTAGTGTGGGGGTTCGCGCTTTGGGGTTGAGAGCTTAGGGTTCAATTTGGGGGTTTAGGGTTGAGAGTTTATGGTTTAGGGATTAGGGTCTGTTGGGTGTAGTTGTGGCTTAGGGGGCTACAAGTAGTGTCTAGGCTCCGGAGGTCAAGCTCAGGGTCCACGGCCCATGGGACTTTGCCAGGTGTCGGTGGGTTGAAAGATTGGTGCATTTGGGCCATGATACACCCCGGCTTGTCCGAGTTGTGAGTGCGTAAACCCTAAATCTAATCCCTGAACCCATTCTGGGTGCTGCCGAAGTCACAAGGGTGATCCGCCAGTATCAAGCTCAAAAGGACTGACATCCTTGATGAAAACTTTGTCTGTCTTCTTTCCCCGACTGATGCCGCGACGCTGGTGCTGGAGCTTGTGGTTTTGAAGCTGGAGCTTGCTGTTCGAGTTTGTGTGTCGGAGCCGTCTGCGTGTTGCCAAAGTCACAGAGGATGATCCTCCAGTATCAAGCTCAACAGGACTGACATCCTTGATGAAAACTTTGTCTGTCTTCTTTCCCCGACTGATGCTGTGACGCTGGTGCTGGAGCTTGTGGTTTT